ACACACACACACACACACACACACACACACACACACACACACACACATATATACATACAAAGCAAGCTCTATACAGATTAAATAGGAAAGAATTAACAAAGGGAAGGCACTGGAATTCAGGGGAATTGGGAAGAGCTTCCTGTAGAAGGTGGAATTTTAGTTGGGACTTGAAGGAAGCCAGGGAGATCAATACTCAGAGGGAAAGCATTGCAGGCATGGGGGACAGCTAGACAGAATGCCTGGAGCCCAGAGATGAAATGTCTTATTCCATGGAACAGCCGGGAGGTCAGTGTCACTGGATCGAAGAGAATGGGTAGAGGAGGAAGGTGTAAGAAGTCTGGAAAGGGAGGAGGGGCCTAGAATGCCGGACAATTTTTATATTTGATCGTGGAGGCGATAGGGAGTCACTGTTTATTGAATGGGGGTAGGGAGCGGGAGAATGACGTGGTTAGACTAGACCTGCACTTCAGGAAAATCACTTTGGTGGCTAAATGTATTGAAATGGGGAGAGGCTTAGATTGTGAGCTCCTTGAGGGCAGGGACAGACTTTATCCCCATTTCTTAGCATAGTGCCTGGCACATAGTACGTGCTTAATAAATATGGATTGATTGACTGATTGCATACATTTTGTATGTACTTATCTGTATTTGTGTTTCCCCTTAGTTACGGTTGGGGGGAGGGGAGGAGGGCAAGAAGCTCCTTGAGAGCCGAGACGGTTTTATTCTTCTCTTAGCACCATGCCTGACACATAGTAGGGGTTTAATAAATGCTTGTTGAATTGAATCAAATTGAATTTTGGTCTTAGCTCCGCTATTAATTGTGTGATGTTGGGCAGGTCTTCTAGCATCTCCATCTATAAAGTGGGATATTAGACTTGCCCTAAACATACGGTAGAATTGTTGCACACAGGAAAAGGACATCTCCATAGCTAGCATTTATATAGCATTTTGTTTGCAAAGTGCTTTACCAATATTATCTCATTTGATCCTCACAATAATCCTAGGAAGTAGGTGTTATGATTGTCCCCATTTTACAGATGAGAAAACTGAGGCTAAGAGAAGGTAAGTGACTTGCCCAAGGTCACATATCTGATGTCTGAGGCAGGATTTGAACTTGGGTCTGCTGGGACTCCAGGTCCAGCACACCACCTAGCCAACTAAAAATGCTGCCTCTATTTAGAATGCTTCATGATTGGGGCAGCTAGGTGGCACAGTGGATAGAGCACTGCCCATTGAGTCAGGAGAACCTGAGTTCAAATCCAGCCTCAGACACTTGACACTAGCTGTGTGACCTTGGCCAAGTCACTTTAACCCCATTGCCTATTAAAAAAAAAAAAGAAAATAGAATACTTCATGGTTTCCATTAAATACTTGTTTCCCAACAGTCTGGGGAGGTAGGGAATACAAGTTTTATTATTTCTCTTTTGCTGAAAAGGAAACAAACTCAGAGAAATGAAGAAATGAATTGGTTAAAGTTACCCCGGTTATGTCAGAGGCAGATTAGGAGGTTGCTGGGTAGAGTGCTAGGCTTCAGTCAGAGAGACCTGAGTTCAAATCCTCCTGCCTCAGATATTTTACTTAACCCTGGTCTGCCTCACTTTCCTCGTCTGCAAAACAGAGATAAACTATCCCCTCCCAGAGTTTTTGGTGAGGATCAAATGAGATAATATATGTACAATAAGAGCTTTGTGAACCTTAGAGGTATATAAATGCTCTTTTTCAAATTCAGGGCTTCTGACTCCAAGGATCACTATGCCGTGCTCCCTGTCGATGTAGGCAAAGGCATTTTTAAAAAGTTATAACTTCTTCGTTTTACATAGGCTCATTGTGTCCATACAACTAAAATGATGGTGACTTTTAATTAACATTACTCAAGAATAGGTGTGAATACTCCCCCAGTGATATCACCCAAACACGTTCACCTGATGGAGGTTGTTGGGAAGGAGATCTTGGCAACACCAGTAGACCCAAGGACATATACATGGACATAGGCAGACAGAAGACACCTAGTGAAGATAGACTAGTTCAAAATTAAACAAATTGATGATGTGGTAACTAGTGAATTGAGGAGGAAGAAGTTTTAATTCTGTGCAGGAGAGGAGAGGTAGGTGACTTGAAGTAACACTTAGCCCACACCACCAGTGCTGCAGTGGATAGAACCTGGAGCATGGAATCGGGAAGACCTATGTTCAAATTGAGCCTCAGACACTCACTGGGTGACCCTGGGCAAGTCATTTAACTTCAGTTGCTTTATCAGTAAAATGGGAATAAAAATAGCACCTACTTCCTAGGGTTATGAGTATCAAATGAGATAAGATTTGCAAATCTTAAAGCGCCGTAGTATTTAAAATAGCTATTATGGAAGTCTCTGCAATGTGAGCTGGACTTACCTGGGAGAAGGCTTTGGGAGGTGGATGGGTGACAGTTTGTTGCCAGATAACCAACCACAAAAGCACCACCGTTATGGGACACATCGGACCCCAAACTGAAGACTCCCCAGCTACCTTCCTGAATTTGACTTCCTTGTTATGCCAGAAACGGATTCATTGGCTGCTTCTAGAGGGACCAGAAGTGGCCGCGTTTGTCTAAGTCTGAAGAGGCACTGCCAAATGCCACCTGAGACAATTGCTGATGCCCCTCTACCACTCCACACCCTCTCCAGCCCCTCCGGAGCTCCTCCTTTTCACCCTCCCTTTCTCTTCTCCCGT